TTTTTTATTTTTAAAAAATTATTTTTAATATTATTGTATTAAAACATCTGAAATATCTAAAAATATAAATTTAAAGTTAAAAAAATAAAAAGTAAAAATAAACAAAGTTTAAAGGGTGTTTAGTGCTGTTTTTGAGAAAATTTAAAATTAATTTTATTTAAAATTAATTATTTTTTATAACAATAAAGTTAAAAAATAAAATATAATTATTTTTTTATATTTTTAAATTAAAAATACTTTAAAAAACAACAATTATCATTGTTCCAAATACTCCTATAAGTGTTGTTTATGCATTATTTGTTGTTGTGGTCTAACTATATTTTTGAATTTTTTTAGCTTTAAATTGAGTTTTTTATTTTAATTTTTTAAATCGTTGTAAACTATCAATGTTAAAAATAATTTTTTTAAAAATATTATTTTAATATATTTTTAAATTAAAAATATTTTAAAAAATAATATATATCACACTCCCAAATAACCATATAGCATTGCGAAGAAAAAAAAAGGTTGGATTAAAAATAGATATTTGATAACATTATTAAAATTATAATTTAAAAAAATTGAGATTTAATGTATTTTTCAAAATCATAATTTTAGATATAAACTATGGCTTTGAAAACATAATATCAAAAAAAGATTTTCACATTTACTTTATTTCATAGTTTAATTAAATAAGAGGGGCTCAAGTTGGATGGACAACGAGGGATATGAGTTTTCAAGTTGGATGGATAACGAGGGATGCAAAATTCAGAATACGATGCACATAAAACCTTTCTAGTTGGGCAATTTGATGATCTGTGTTTTAGGCATATGCTCATTTTGGTAATCAAGACGTTTTGTTAGGATTTCTGAAACCCATTAACATATTACCATTTTGATTGCACAATAATCATTTGAATAACATGAAAATAAATAAATAAATATATTAAATCAAGCATTGTATCATATCTAACATTGAAATAGAAGGAACATTTTTTCCTATACAAACAAATTTTTAATACCCGTATTTGATGAAATTATTCTTTATCTTTATCTCTTTAAATTAATTTTTAATAGAAGCAACTTTTTTTTTTAATATATAGATTGAACTGTTCCCAACAACAGAACTTATATAATTTCTTGAATAAAATAATCTTCACATGACAAAATATAAACAAGTGACATGGGACATATAGAAATTTATTTTAAAAACCAAATGTCAGAAAAATTATTAATAAGAAATAATCTTAAAATTCCCATTTCTTATTTATTTTGAAAAAAATTGTTG